GTCTGTTATGTGGTGGAGAAAGGTGATGATAGTTTTTCCAGCTAATTCATATCATGGTGTCGTATGTTGTCTTAATCATACATCCTACACTCCCACAAACGGAACCTGGTGTGAAAGGGAAATCGACCTTGAGACTACTGCGATGACTAGAACGAACCGCATGACATCTATATCATCTAGACGTGATTTATGGGTAAACACATAAGTGGACGAAATTACTGGATTCCTTAGGCCGCTTTTAAATAAACGAAGTAACTCTGGTTTGAAACATTAACGGAATATTTTAGCAACCTTGATTTCAGTGACCAGTAATTCTGAAAATAGCTGAAAATTAGAAAATGAAACAGACTAACAACAGAGTTATGAATAAATTATTCACTTTTGCGGTAACAATCTCCTATATATATATATATATAGAGAGAGAGAGAGAGAGAGAGAGAGAGATCATGGTATCAACACCACAAACAATAATAACAAAAACAGGTGATGGAGATAAAGAGCACAGTGAAATGGAGGTTAAACAGCTCAAACAGATAACAGTAGATAACAAAAATAACCACAAATTTTTTTTGTTTCACCGTACCGTACCGTTTGATATCTTCTCCCGTTTGTTTGTAGCCTTTTTACGGAGTAGGTGATTTCAACAACAGTACAGCATTTGGGCCACTAACTTCTATTCTGGGCCATATTTCTCAGCGTCTCTAACCAACGACAATCCCCATCACTTGGGCCCCAATCTAGAAGGCGGGCTGCACCAATCGAAGCCAAAGCTGAAGCCAGCTTCTTCATGCCTCTATACCTGGTCATGGTCTGACCGCCGCGGCGCCTTGCCCGGCACGTGTGAAGAGAGCACGGAAAGGCAGTCGATGCGCAGGCATACGCAGTACGTGACCAAATCAACGGAGGCGGTGTAGAGCGATTAGTTCCGTTAGAGAGCAACTATTCACACCCAACACACGACGACGGACCTCGCCATTGCTCGCCTGATGTTTCCACCAGACACGAGCAATGCTTTGGAGTTATCGGTGGTCGAATACGGAAATTCTGTCAGCATCCTCACAACCGTAAAGCAGAACACTATGGATCGCGGCGAAGTACACCATTCCCTTAAGGGACAGTCGGATGTCACGGTGGCGCTACAGGTGTCGCAGGTTGGCGAAAGCTGCTCTAGCTTTAGCTATTCGATGTGATCTCTTCCCCAACCCCACCTCCAGCTGCGATCAAGTTCCCGAGGTACTTGAAGCTCTCAGCTGCTTCCAGCTGATCACCACAGAGGGTAATTACGGGGTCAGGCTCCTGCCAGTCTTGAACAAGCACTTTACACTTGGATGGTGCAAAGTACATACAATACTTGGATGCCTCTATCGTCACGCGGTTTAAAGCGTGTTGGGCTATCTGTGTATAGTCACGCAACAAAGCCATGTCATCGGCATACTCTGAGTCAAGGACTCTGCACCTTGGGAGGAGTTTGATGCCACGGTTTGTTAGACCGGACAAAGCATTCTGTAGAACATCCTCCATGACAAAGTTGTAAAGATATGGGGATATAGGGCAGTCTTGTCAAACTCCACTACAGACGGCGAGTTTGACAAGGAGGGTGAAGATGGCAGGAAACGTATGCTTACAAACCACTTACTGCGGGCCACAGTTAGACATCACGTATCTTCTGCTTAATGACGAAGAGAACTACCCGGATAACCGTAACATTAGTGAGGTGAGGAAATCGTTATGGGAAAGCAGAATCGCATCGATAAACATTTTATAAGACTGGTCACATTATTCTATTACATGGTAATTCGACTGACTGTTTTAAATGAATCAGGATATAACACAAATACCAAGGGCGAAGCAATCGAAAAGGAAATGGTTGCTTTACGGGCCAGTTGCTTAGTCAATGGTGGACGTAATGGTAACATTCGCGTGCGAATAAATGATCTGGACTGCGGATAACCTTAGACACACTGATCTTGTTGTGCAAGGCGGATTTGAGAATGACTGTTGTACTGTGCACAGATTGATTCATCGAATAAAATTTGACATCCCAAATAGGACAACTGGGTATGGAACACTTAGCATATCGGTAGCTAGACGGGATTGAATGCGAATTAATCGAGTAAAACAACCAGACAGCGCGTGAATTACGGACCTCATTGATGGGTGACGTCAATCGAACAATGACATTTTATTTGGTTAGGTAGACGAGAAAACAAGCTAGCGGATAGTGAGGTGCACCGAATGACTAAGCAATAAACGAGACAGAGCAACTATCGCAATTATGACTGAATTCAAAGAGAACATGATTTGATGAGAAAAGGGAATAAAAAGAAGTGAAAATATTACCCACAAATGCATAGTCCCACCGAAATCTCCGGCATAATCATTTAATGAGGCGGCCGAAAAGTGATATAACAGTCAAGCGAAATGAGTACCAATTCGCTATCCTATTGATATACATTCACACCAGGCAAGAACGTTTATACAGTAAACATTTGGCACAACAAGGTAAATTGATCGGGGGAAAGGTGTTTTCTTGCAACCTGAGAAGAGCAATTATGAAACCACTATAAAGGAAGTAGTAGACATCAGTCCCACAGTGTATTTACGCTTCCCCCATAATGACTCACCAAAATGAACAGGTTTGAGCGGGCGGCCCATCGACGAATCCGAGTCAGAGGCCAAGTTTCCAAAATTTCCTTCGTCTTCTCATCAACGCGCATTACGCTCTCTTTGCTCACACCAAACAAACGGGGAACAAGTTTGTTGCGCCCCTTGAGTTTTTCCTAAGTATAGATCAGATTGAAAAATGAACGGTCACTAACCGGTATGAACTGTGTGGTAATCGGGTTTATGCCCAAATAATAATTTGCTTTGAAGATGAACTCTCATGTTTAATTGCATTAATAAGCGACGAAGCAAGTTGGAATCTACCACCTGTTGGGAAACTGAGAATTTTACAGGAGCACCAGGAAATATCATGGACCATATAGTCAGATTTTCAAATGCATCAAGTCGAATTCTCGGTCTTATTTCCAAAGCTTATGCCCCCTAGGTAACAAGCTTGGATTCGTAAAGCTCTGTTCTGCAGAGTTGGTCGCCTGTATAGTCCGGAAGTGTGAGAAAGCGAACTTAGGGATTTGATGAGTGCCTTGTCCACTAATGGTTATCCCTTACCTTTTACGGAGAAATATAGCGCACACATCGTCTCCAGGCTAACGTACACTATGGTCGAAAGGAAACCAGTTTTGATTGGCGTGCCATTCAAAAGAGACGATGTAACTGCTTGGGTTCGTCTTCGGCTTCGTACTACACTTGAGTCTACCTATCCTGCAGCGAAGCTGATCATCATTCACAGGACAATCAACTGATTGATTCGGTCAAAGAGAGACAGATCTACTTGCATTTATCTTTTTCAATGTACTTGTCGTTCGCGGTACGTTGGAAGGACTGAACGCCGGTTGCCGACCGAAATGAGTGAGCATGTTCCGAAAAACTTATCACTTTGAGGAAGGAAACTTCCAGCAAGCGCGGTGGCACGACATTTGCTCGATACCGGACACTGCATTGACAAACGCAGAGCTTTTCGCGTTGTCCTCGAAATTCGAAGTCCAAGGAAGCTTAGGTTTGCTGAAGCGGTTGTCATCAGCCGTTTAAAGCCTGAACCATGTGTGCAAAACGGCTTTGTGATGCAGTTACTGTCACCATGGTAATTCCCTCCCCTTTCCTTACCCTCATCTCAGCCGTGCCCCTACCTCATCACCGATACTTCATCCTTCTCGCCTAATTTTGACCC